CTGGAACAGCCAAAAGCAGTTCCCCCAACCTGATACCAAACCTTATCTTTGATATGTATATCTGCTTGCTTTAGGGCAATTTTTTGTTAATAAAAAGCGAGGGGTCCAGAGATTCGGAGAACTTGGTTACTATAGCTAAGTCTCCTCTGGCTCCCCCCAAGAATGCCTTCCAAATTTATATTTCATGTCTAGTCTCTTTATTAATTGACCGCAGCCCCTTCTCCAGATTCTTGAACCCTTCTAGATGCTGAGAAACACCCCGGGACCTACAGGTTCCAGGTACTGTTCTATTAACTCCGCCAAAAATGTGACAAGACAGATGCTGTTATTATTCGTCCCACTGTACAGATGGGAAAATAGAGCCAGGACACCGTGGCACTCAGAGTAACGGGGTCCCTCACAGTGGGCGGGGCCTACACATGCCCCCCTTTCCCCCCTCCCCGCCCCACACACAGGCACTTACAGACACACGTATCTCAGCAAAACTCACAGGCCTCGTTCTGCACATGGCACCTGCCCCAGCCTCTGGGCATCCTTGCTCCCCAGGGCCCTCCCCCACCTGCCCACTTGGGTCGGCAGTGATGCGTCTGTGGGATGAGGGTCCGCGGTTCCTCTCCCTCCCGTGATCACTGCACCCATGAAGGGGGTGTGGCCCGATGCACTCACACCCTCCTCAGGCTCTGTCACCCACCAGTGCGCCCAGCACAGCCCCGCCCTGTCATCCATGCGTGGGGGCACCCTGCGTCCTGGCCTTCTCTTCCTTGCTGGAGTCCCTCCTATTCGCTCTCCTCTCGGCAGCCAGAGCATCTTGTCCCAACATGGGTATGAGCGGGACACCTCCTTGCTTCAAGCCCTCACTGGCGTTCCATTGTTCCCTAGACAACAACCAACAAGGCGTGGCTGTATCCGTTTATAATGACATTGGTCACCTTATGAAAGGTGACGACAGGCCCCGACCTAGGGTTCTTGTTCTTTACTCTCCATCACAAATGGAGAACCCAGCTGTGATGACAGCTGTTCCCACGGAAGGGACCAGCCTCCCTGGCCTTCGGGTGCCCACAGGGGCTCCCCATTTGGGGTGAATATAGCTGCCTCATCCTCATGGGGGACGCTCAGGCCCTCTTCAGCGTTCTGTGAACTCTAGGCCACCTGCCCATCGGGCTCAAGCAAAAGGTTCCCTGTGAGGTCAATGGAAGGGCAAGGTCCCTGGATCAACTTTCCTTCAAGGCTGCCCCATCCCCAGCCCAGCTACCCAGACTCCTTTCAGCCCCGCCTGGGTACCATGTCCCTCGGACACCGGGCCTTTGCACAGGCTGCTTCCTTATGTAAATTCTCTCCACTTCCATCTTCACCCAGTTAAGTTCTTGAGATCCCTGCTAAGTCATTTCTTCCACAGAGACGCCCTCCCTGACCTCCTGACCAGATCAGACGCCCTGTTAAATGTCCTCATAGCCCCATGGAACATCCTGCCAAGCTACCTACCTCTCTTCGCAAGTTTCCATTCAGCAGGTAGTTACTAATGTCTGTCTGTCTACTGGACTGTCAGACCAGGAGGGCAGGAATCACACCCGGTTTTGCTCTCCTGTGTATCCCCCGCATGTAGTAAATCCTCGATATAGTGTATTGACCGAACAGGCAAAGACTCCCTCAGGGCACCCCACTCTGCTGGGAGTCTGCAGGGTTCTTCGGGGAGGCAGCAGAAGTGGTGCGATCCGCAGACTGAGAGGCCCAGCCTGGTGCTGGCACTGCAGGAGCTACGTACGTGCAGTTGTCTTGCCATTGTTATTGTTGGGATGGTGACGATGATGCCTTCTAAACCCAGAGACGGAGGGCAGAGCTCTGTGCCCTCCGCTCACCTCTGCCCCAGCCACCCTCCACCATGGAGGTTAAGACCTGCAGAGTAGGGACACTAATCCCACCGAAATGCTGGGGGCCCTGGCCCAGCTGCGTGGGACCGGGGGCAGGGGTGCTTTGGGGTACTGGATTGGCAGCTGTCCTCTGTGGCCAGGTAAGGAGGGAGGGAGGGAGACACCCAATATTTCTGGGCCCCTCCTTGTGGGCATGGCACTTTGCAAAGGATTTACACATTCTGTTTCCTTTCCACTTAGTGTGGATGATGAAGTTGGGCCCAGAGAGGTGACAGGACCGGCTAAGGCCCAGAGTGGTGGCGCTCACACTCCAGTCCCAGTCTTGCTGGTGCAGAGACAACCTGGTGAGAGAACCAGAAAGCCAACCTCATCTCCCGAATGCCTGAAACTCTTCCAAATCCAAGTCTGTCCAAACCCCCACTTCAAACATCAGCCGGGGACATGTCCTCCAGGAAGCCCGCCTGGATTTCCCCGTCTGGCTCTGGCCCTACAATCCTGTTTTCTGTGACAGGTACACGCACTGGCAGGGGCTGGCAGGGGCCCCATCCTGGCCAGGCCAGGATTCAAAATGGCTCACAAAGGGATTGTCTCAGAAACGCCGCCGGCCTCGCGGGGAAACACCCTGAAGCTGCTGCAGGAAGGGCTGTGGGCCAAGCCTGCCCAGGAGTCACAGCTAAGTCTTGGCTATTTAGGAGGCAGCTCCTCAGTGACTCACCGTTTGGGCTTTTGTGACCCAGGCCAGGAGCCAGGGGCTGCCAGGAGGTGCCCTCATTAAAACCAAAAGGCGATGGGGAGCACAGAGGGCCGATGACTCACCGCAGCCGGGGCTCCTGGCCAGTGGACTCACCTCTCTGGCCCCTGGGCCCCCAAGTCTGCTCTGAGTGGGTGCGAGAGCCCAGCATGAAGAGTCCCAGGAGGAGCTTCTGGCAAGAAGTGGGAGGGGCAGGAGGCGGGGCCGCACCCAACTTCACTGACTTTACTCTCATGTCAAAAGCCTTTCATTCCAACCCTGTGCCAGGGATCCCAGCCGCCAGCCTGCCTGTCCCTCTCCCAGGGGACACCTCCCAGGACTCCATCCTGGTCGGGGGAGAGGGAATCTGGGCGGGGACGCTCCCCTGTCTGCAGTGTGCAGCCGCCTCTCCTCTGAAAGGAGGTCAAGGCCAGGCTCCAAGTCAGCTCCCGGGAGGGTGCTCCTGGCCTGCGGTCGGCTCAGGGCCGCAGCACGGCTTCTGTCGTGGGCCCTGGCACTTTTGCTTTCGTGGGCCTTCGCCTGCATTAAAAAAAAGAAGAAGAAAAGAAAAGAAAGCAAATGTTGTGACCTCATTGGTATGGAGAGAAACAGAAGGCAGACTGGATTATAGTCCTTCTTCTGATTTTAAAGAAATTAGAACATTGTGAGGCATCGAAAGGCATCGTGGGCGCTGGGCACTGTGCCTCCTGTTGGCAATTAGTTAAGCCCTTTGATCTGCCTGGCCCAGATCCTGCTCACCATGGACGTAGGCGTGTGCCTCGGTTTGCCTCTCTGTAGAGTGGGCATGATGGTAGCAGCCGCCTCGTGGGGCTATGAGAGCCCCTTGAGATCCCACTGAGGGGGGCTGGGCGCAGTCTGGCACAGAGTAAGTGCTCCGTGTGGGCTCCCCGCGTAGCTGCATGTGAGCTTCACACGAAGGAGGCAGGGGTGCGATGCCTTCTCTCCTCATGATAGGAAAACCAGGTTCTGAGCTGGGGAAAGGACCTGCCAACAGCCACATAACAGCCCTGTGGCCCAATGGTTAGAGTATCGGCCCATGCACCAAAGGGTGGCGGGTTCGATTCCTGGTCAAAGGCACATACCTGGGTTGTAGGTCGGTCCCTGGCCCCCATCAGGGCATATGAAGGAGGCAACTGATTGATGTCTCTCACACATCAATATTTCTCTCTTCTCTCTCTCTCTCTCTCTCCTCCCCCCTTCTTCTCTCTCTCTTTCCCTCCTTTCCACTGTCTCTAAAAATCGATGGAGAAAATATCCTTGGGTGAGGATTAACAAATAAACCAAAAGCCACGCAATAAATGATGGACTTGGGACTCGGAGGCCAAGATGAAGCAGCTCCCAGGCCCCACAGGTTGATGGAAGTGGTTGGTCAAGTTATCCCAGTCCCAGGCCAGGAAGAAGGAGGGCCGGGCAGGAGGGAGACGCGCCAGGATGGTGTCTGGCCTCAGTTCTGCCCATGTGGCCTCCAGGGAGGGGCAGCCGCCGGCAAACCAGGCGCTGTGAGCCCAGGGCCGGTGGGATTGGCATTTCTGACCACGACGGAGCCACCCTCTCCTCTAGCCCTCTGACCGTGGGGACAGCAGCTCGCCCTGGGGGACAAGCTGGGCTGGGGGCTGCTGTCTCCCCGACCCAGCCCCTAGGTGACAGCAGCAAGCTGGAATGCGGGTTCTCCCGCTGACTCAGGCCCCCTTCTCTGGCAGCCACACTGCCCCACTGCTGGGGAGCTGGGGGGGACAGGACTCACATCTGGGAGGTTTTCACTGCTTGTCGCATCAGCAGGAGCCTCCCCAGGAAAGGACAGGAAAGGAAAACCCCGGCCGAGCTCCCAGCCTTCGGCCGTAGGTTCTTGGACAAAGGCCGCCCAGGCCCTGGTGTCCTACGGGGGTCAAGCGGCTCTTGGCTACCCTCTGGGCAGCACGGGGCGGGGGCAGAGGCCCAGCGCAGGGAGAAGGGACAGATGTGGCACTCCCAGGCCACGTGAGCTTCCGTGTCTCGGCCTCTCTGGGCCTCAGTGGCTGCATCAGTAAAACAGAGGTGAGATCAAAATACCCAGAATACAAAGCCCCTGGCACAGCCCCTGCCCGGAGCCCGCCAGCAGGAGCCCGCAGAGGGTCTGGGGAAGGGGCGCGGAGATGGATGGGAAGGCCTGAGAACAGACAGCCAGAGGGCCCCTCCCCCGGGCCGTGGCCCATGTCAGACCTGGAAGTATGTTTGCATCACTGGGCACTCAGGGGTTAATGATGGGGAGTGGACAGGGCCCGGGTATTTAACTATTAAGGAAGTGCCCGCCCTGCAGACCAGAGGTGCCCCTGCTCACCTCCTTCTCCACAGCCCAGCTCCCAGCTCCCAGCTCCGGCCCTGCTCACCGCCCCTCCCCCAAGATGAAGCCTCCCCCTCTTCTGACCTTCCTTAGCCTCCTGGGTAAGTGACCTCTGTGACCTTCACCCTTCCCCTGACCCAGCCAGGAGCCCCAAACTCCCTGGCCCTGGGAGGGTGTGGTGGGTCATCCTGAGGCCAGTCCTGCTTGAGCCAGCACTGACCACTGGGGAGGGTGCGGGTGGGAGGGATGCCTCAGAGTCGGCCTGGGGGGCATGAGAAAGGGGTTGGCTGGGACCCCACACAGCACACACGGGGCTCCATCACCCACACGCCACCCCCCACCCTCGCCTCCATGGTGGAAGGATCTGGAGGGACTGGGGGAGTCCAGGTGGTTAGGAAGCCCAGCTGGTGGCGTCCAATGGCACGTGGTGGGAACAGGGTGCGTCTGGGGGCGCAGGCCTGCCAGCTGGGGAGGATCAGGACCCGGGAGAGATTTGGGGGACAGTGGGGTTACCCTGGGAGGTGGCAGAGGAGAGCGGGAGGGGATTGGGTGCAGTGACATGAGGGGGGGAGGGGAGGAGACCCAGGTGCAATGGAGATATTATTACTGATTAGCGTTATTGATATTGGGAGGGAGGTGCTGGGGACACGAGGTTAACTGGACAGCCAGAGAGATGTCTGAGTGGGATGGGAGAGGACCTCAGGGGACGCTCAGGGGTCCGAGGGCACCGCCCGCCCCTGCAGTGGCCCTGGCTGGCGGGAACCTGCTCCAGTTTGGGGTGATGATTGAGAAGATGACCGGGAAGTCGGCGCTGCAGTACAACGACTACGGCTGCTACTGCGGCATCGGCGGCTCCCACTGGCCGGTGGACCCGACGGACTGGTGAGCGGGGCCCACGGGGGCCGGTCTGGGGGTGGAGGAGCTGGGGGAGCATCCCTGGAGGAGGGAGGAGCCGAGGCCATCTAGAAAGGGGGGCTGGCCTCTCCTGGGAGCCCCCGAGCAGGCCCTGGTGACCCTTCCAGGTGCTGCCATGCCCACGACTGCTGCTACGGGCGCCTGCAGAAGCTGGGCTGCGAGCCCAAACTGGAGCGGTACCTTTTCTCGGCCAGCAAGAGCAACATCCTCTGCTGTGAGTGATGCTCCAACTGCCAGGGAGGGGGCTGGCGTCAGGCAAGAAGCCCCTCCTGACGGAGACCCCGGCGCCGGGCCCTGGGCTGGAGGGATGGGGTCTTCGCCATCACAGAACTGGGAGAGGCATGTCCACCCCCACCTGCTCTGCCTGGCACCCAATCTAGAGCCCTGTGATCCCTCGGGCCCTGCCCTGGCCTCAGGCGCTTCCCCCACCCAGAGGCCTCCCTGTTCCAGGGGCTGGGAGAGGAGCCAGGGGGCAGAGCTGAGCCAGGGCCCTGAGGAGCCGCACCCACACACCCTCCCCAGGCCTGGCAGCAGCTCGAGGGTAAACCCCCAGGACAGACCTCAGGGCACGGGCCCAGGCAGAGAGCGGGCGCTCTGATTTGGGACAGCAGATGCCAGGCCCGAAGGCCGCCTCCCCCAGGGGCTGCCAGGCTGGGCCCATTTGCTCAGCGTTGCCAAGTCCCATGCCCACTTGGACCAGCTCCCTTTCCTCTGGTCCCCACCCTGAGAAGCAGCCTGGACCAAGTCAGAGTGAGGAGGGCTTCATGCAGCCCAGCCCCCGCGGAGCCCAGACCAGCTAACCCAGCCATCTTCCAGCTGCAAAGCCGGGGCGGCCTGGGGGGGGGGGGGGGGGAGCCGGCGCAGGGTGGGGGGCAGGGAGGGTCACAGGAGACTCAGCTCAGACCCCGGGTTTGTGCTGGGGGCGGGCAGAGCCGGGACCACAACCACCGGGGGGCAGGTTTGCCTCAGTTTCTTGCTCCTGCAGCCATCTGCTCAGCGAGGCAGCTTTGTCAGGGAGTGAGCTCCCCAGCCCTGGGGGTGCCTGCAAGGCCGGATGGCCCCTGAAAGGGCAGTGCTGGGAGGTGTCAGGTGGGTATGGACACAGGCTCGGGGCTGGGCACCCCTCGAAAGCCTCTGCCTCCTCATCTATGAAATGGAGGTAGTCACACTCACTTGCCCAGCTTCAGTCCAGCTCCTGCAAGAACCACCCACAAGAACTGACTCGACCCTTAAGCCCCTTCCAACTCTGAGTTTTGCTGAAATAGCAGCATGAGAAATGGAGAGCGACCGCCCAGAGGAAAGAGCGGGGGACATTTCTGAGCTGTGGACGTGTTCCTGGGGACAGAAAGGAGCCAGGGCCACTGGGGCAGACAGGCAGGGAGGGACGGCGAGGCTTAGGGCCCCCGGTGCCTGGTACCAGTTCTGCTCCCCCGCTGGGTGGGGGCACACACGTGGAGGGGGATGGGTAAGGTAACTGTCAGAGAAATGGGCTCCGTCCACTCTCAGACACAAGCACAGGGGCCCAGCCTCAGGCCCCACGGCCTCCAGTCGGGGCACAGGCTGCTCTGGGCACGCACAGCCCATCTGGGATTGGGTCGCTGTCATTCGTAATTTTCCTCTCGGCTTGATGGCTGCAATCCCCCGTCAGCAATACTTCACATGGGGCAGGAGCTGCCTAGAAATACCCGCCCCCCCCCACCCCCGGCCCGCAGATGAGAGTTAGTGGACCAGCTGCAGGGTGGAAGCAGGTGGGAGGGAGGGGGAGGGCAGAGGAGCGAGCTAGGGGAGGAGGACAAGCTTGCAGCCTCCCAGCATCCTGGCCCTGCAGCCCTCCTGTGTCCGCTCTGTCTCTCACCCATCCCTGAGACGTCCCCATGAGAATGAGCTTCCAGCAGAACAGGGGTGAGACTGTGGACCCGGAGCCTCGGGTCCCTGACTCGCCTTGTCCCCGCAGCCGGCAGAACGACCTGCCAGCAAGAGACCTGCGAGTGTGACAGGACGGCTGCACTCTGCTTTCGCCAAAACCTGGACACCTACGACCGCAAATACGTCCGCTACCCCAACAAGCTGTGCACAGGCCCCAGCCCACCCTGCTAAGGCTGTGCCCCTCCTCCTCCCTGTGGCCTTCTGAGGCCCCGCCTCCAGCTGCTGCAGCCCCAGGCCTTGGGAGGATTGGCACCAAAGGCCCTCCTTCTGGAACATTCCTTTCCTGCAAACCCATCCCACCCTGAGGATGCCCAGAGTGTGGCCTGGACCATCTTTGGCCTCCCAAGCCATGTACCCCTTAGCAAGAGGCAGGCCCCGGAAGCTTCAGCACCCATAAGATTCCATAACCCAACCCTGGACTCTCAGCTCCCTCTTCTCAGTGAATGCTTCCCATCCTATATATTAAAGAGTTAATATGCAAATTCACCCTCATGCCTTCACAA